AAGCAGAAAAGGTTTCTTGCTCGCTCTTTAACATCAGCACAAAGTGCGAGTGGGAGTAGTAGAGAAATGAGCGACTGTAACTTCAGCTACAAGTAAGCATTTTGTAAATGTGTGGCAAGCTAACACTATCACCTCACAGTCTTCAATGGTCCTAATGGTCTCCAATCAGAATTAAACTGGGAAGGTTGCAGTTATATGGCGTGTGTTTTAACTACATGGAAACCGGATGCCTCCAAGCAGTCTTACTTGTCACTGTACTCAGACAATAAGCTAATTTCCTACATAATACTGCAGTGTTTAGCCAACTGTTTGTCGGACTGTGTTAATTTAAAAACCTGAATTAACTTATTTGGTTCTCAAGGATTGAAAACACAAATCCATAAATCGTTTGGAGACAAAGGGTAGGAGGGATCCATTTGATCATCACTCAATAACAAAACAATAGCACAGCAGTTCTGAACCTGAAAACATTTCTGGGATACAGTGCAACCGTCAGAAATACTGAGCCCCATTACTAGCAGAGAGAAGGGTCAAATACAGTAGGAAGGGCAGAATTTTGCTTCCCCTCGGAATATTAATATAACTTTAATGGAACATTATTTGTATTTCTGTGTTTGCCATTTAGCCCATGAAAAAAGGAGTCAGGACAGGAAAGCTACAGTTGAAGGTTGCACGCAGCTTGAAGGGAAACATTCAATTAATTAAATATCCTCGTTTTAAGATATTAAAAAATATTCTCCTTGGAATAGTAACTTGTGTCTGATGTCTTTTTTTACCACGATAAAGCCACAATAAAATACCTTCTCTTTCAATGGAAATTGTAGAATCTATGAATACACCAGTATTGTTCATTTCCACAGTTTATCAACTTCAGGTTTCTTCAAGTTTCTACAGTGAACTTGTGTAAGTTGCATTTCGGACCACAGTTTGCTACAAACTTGCCGTAGGTTAAGTTTTGATCGTGAGTAACAGTCTTTTGTCACCTCGTAATAAAAAGTGTTAGCTGTCAGTTTTTGTTTCTATTCAAGTTTCACTGGCGCTTCTTTATGCGAATATAAAGTATCGTGCTGTTTTCAATGACACATTGTCTCTCTATTGTTGAATGAGGCCATTGTTGTGATGATGCTTTACTTGTGAGTCAATGTTCCAGTATCTGCTATCGAGAGTGGTGTGTCACCAGAGCGTGATGGGGACGGTGTATCATTACTGCAGGGAATCACACTTGTTATTCAGGTGTGGGCCACTTCTCTACAGAGCAATTGGCCTCCCCCTCAGTCATAGGATGGCCCCCCGAGTGACACTTTTTCCTGATAAATGAGCCGCAGTAATCTCAATTGCCCTCTTCGGACAGAAGTGCCTGACCAGGAGCTTGTTTAGCATGCAACGACACAAACGCATGTGCATCTTCATGAGCAGGTATACACACACACACCTACGTATGGATATGCACAATTTAACATACGGAAATGCAAATGTGCATACAGTATAGCTACAGAAGTATCCATACAATATAGCCAATGTCTACTGTAATTGGAGTCATTAGAAACAGTCATGGTGATTACTATGGTTTCCAATAAAAACTATCTTAAGCTTATTTAGTCCTCTCTGCACAGCATTTTGCTTAATGTTATTCCTGAAGAAAAAAAGGAATTATACCAACACAGACCCTTTCAACAGAAGGTGTTTATCTACGTGCGTCTGTGGTGTATGCTTTTAGCATGTGAAAATCCTTTCAAGCTGTGTACATGAGAGCCTTTTCGTTTCACAGTGAGCAGTCTTTTGGCGGTGGGGGTTTATGGGTGACAATAGGTATTGATAAAATCCTTCTTCACCCGGTGATCATTTCAGAGAGGCTGTGGGCAGAAAATGGCTGTTACTCTTCAAGGACGTGGGATAAAGGCGTCTGTCTGTAATACTGCCGTCGCTCAGGTGTCCGGATAAGGTCAGGGTTAGCATGAATCACTTTGAGTCTGACCGAGCCGAGCAGAGGTCATTCTGAGGCTGCGAACCCGGACATCCAGGCAGCGCAGTCTCCCTGTGATTGAGTTTAGGGCTTGAGAGGACATGTGAGATAAGAGGGAGAGTGTGAGCACACTGATGATATCTACAGACTAGAAGCAAAACTGGAGGCCATGGTGTCAGGAAATATAATAACATTAAGGATCTGTTAAGATTATATGTATGATTTAATTAATTGGGACTCAAGTTTAATTATTGTACACTTATAATCCTTTTGATGCACTTCACCTCTGTTCTCCTTCTGTGAACATATGATTTTAACATCTGCTCAGCGTGGATATGTTTCAGGACATGTGCTTGTAATGTCTACTTGATTGATGTGTCAGTATACCTGTAAATTGGACTGAAGGTGAGCTGCTAAGAGAATGTTAGCTTATTGACAGTAAGAAAGCTATAATACAGTGTGGTTACAATAACGATTGTTATAATGGTAACAATGAGAGTGGGGGGACCTCTTGTGGTTTGGAAACACGTCATTACAACAAATAATTCTTTGCAACCAATAGATCTCCTTTGTCTTGATGTATCTCTATAAATGGATGCTTGAGGGGGGAAATTAGTATTTCATTATTATTTAATGATCTAAGTAAGAGAGATTTAGCTTTGAGATACATGTGTGATTCTTTGTGGGTGTGCGTATGTAACTAAAACCGCCAATTAAAAGATTGCGTGCCTAATAAGGGTTTAGGAAGTTTTATTTCGTACAGGGAATTTGTCATGCTGGAAGATTGTAGGATTTGTATACAACCCTTGTTTGGTTCACAAATATTGATATTCACACACACACACACACACACACACACACACACACACACACACACACACACTTTTGGGTAAGCTCACAACCACATTTCAAAGGCAAATTCACAGAATGAATGAAGGAGAAAAGGGAGTGTGACGCTGAATTTACTTAACGACTTTAAACGTTGTAAAGAAGTATATATTTTATTAAAAAAACGATCAGGTCATTTTCTAATTCAATGATCCCAATATTAAATCAAAGAACAGTAAATCTTACATATTTCCATGAAGAAGCACAATGTCCCGTCCCACTGGGACAGATTCAAAGAATGAATACAATAAAATAAAATAAACAGTAAATGAAAGGGGGTTTGAAGCAAGTGAATCACAAAAGCCACTACTCAAGGGAGTCATTTCAAATAAGATGAATGCAATTGAGCCTTTAATTAATTGTATTCAATTAATTGCATATCATTCTTAAATTTCCAAAGTAACATGACTCAACTAACAGACTATGAAAGATGCCAGATAGTCAGTGCCTGAAAAAATGATTTACTGCGGCAGAAAAAATAAACGCAAAAATTATGACAACATATGGCCAACACAGACAAACAGCATCATCAGCCTAGAGGAACAGTGGTTGCAAGTAAAAGCTCCCAGACACTGTGACAGTATCTCACACCAAAAGCAGAACAGACGTGTAGTGGAAGTAACATGCATGAGTTGCAGCAGGGTTGTTCACACCAGAGGCGTGTTTCTGTGTGCTGTCCAAAAGCACCTCTTTGTGAACAAAACAACAATAAAAAAAGAGGCCTGACACAAAGGTGAAATGTCTAGTGAAAATAGAATTCCAACAGTGTGAGCAGAGGTACCAGCAGAGACACTGCTTAGAGTCATAACATTCGTCTTATTTTTCCACTTCGGTAACTTTCTATCATACTTTCTTTCCATCTCATCCACAGACTTACTCATGCGCTAAAGCAGCCATGTGTCATTTCTCATTCAGTGCAGTGCTTTGATTGGGTAAAACCTACTATATAAGACCCACGAGTCTCTCGCTGTCCTTGTTTCTCAATCAAGCATTTATAAACACTTAAACCCTTCAGTAACATGGCTCATATTCATTTGCCATTTAATATTTCAGAAACACAATTAACAGTAAATGTCTTGTTTGATGATGTTTTTGTCTATTGCACTGAGCATTGCCAAAACTACAGCTGGAGGTTAATGGGCTGCACCACATGTGGTTGACAAGCTTAAAATTATAAATAAAAATTGCAAAGCTATTACCTCACTAATTGATCAACACAGTCATGATTCTACTAGTTCTACTGTCCCTTAAAAAAGTTACTATACACAGTACTTAGTCAGTATTCTGGCCTTGGATGAATAATAACAATATATTATTCCGTAATAATGTCCTTATTTAAAAAAAATGATTATTCCCAATCAGCACACCACTCAGTAGACATTTTTCAGTTTTTTTATGGATTGAACAAACATGTTCAATAGTGCGAACTTGCAAGATGTTGCTGAAAGATGAAGAGGTGTTCCCCTCTAAAGTGAAGCCCAATCATTACATTAACAACATCCTTCAACTTCCTAGCTGACAGTTAAAGACTCAAATATTTTGGCGGCAAGAGCTTACATTGTAGGAATATGCTGGTATTTTGGCGGATCCCTGAATATCATTTAGCAAACATACGATGATTTAAAAGGTATATAATGTAACGTGGAAAATGTTCAGCTAAAATAAACTGAGTGAAAAAGTAGAAATAGTGTGCAGCTCATTCATTTACTTTCCCCACTAAATCCTTTTTTTATGATCACAGGGGGCTGGAAGCTAATCCCAGCATACATGGGGCAGAAGACAGAGAAACACGCCGGTGATTTATAGTTTCCAATGCACCGAGAATTAGACACCTTTGGACTGTGCAGTGTTCCCACACCTTAAGAGGTGTAGTTTGCTTAGGAAATAAGAGTGATTTATTTGAGCTGTAAAAGTGTTTCTTAGGGTGAGTGAATAAAAAGCCAGGTATATCCATAACAAAGTAGTTACTTTCGCCCTCTGCAGCTCTTTTGAAAATGGCTGAATGAGATTTGATGAAAGGTATATGCATGATTTTACCTTATAATTACAGTTAAGATTTATCAAATGAATATCTGACACAACAAACAAGTACAAAACATGTCCTGGTGATCCAGGTATTGCTTCTGGCTTTGTCTAATTCAGTTCTTACCTGCCAATTTAATCACAGTTCCAAGACGTTCTGGTCATCCTTTTGTTAACTTCCAATCCACCGTAAAGCTGTCCCTGAAAATACAAAAAGCAAAATGTAAGAATACTTTAAAAACAGATACCAAATTTACAGTATGTGGCTACTCAGTTTCACGGGCTCTATGGAATACAGCCATGAAAAATGCACTGTTTTGGAGAGATTATGATGTAGTTACTCAACTATCAAAAATGCACATTTTAAACCCCTAGGTTAAAGTACATCTAATTCAAAATTCTCTTTACTGTCTCTAAATAATCATTGAGTCATCTTGTTAGTTTTCTTCTCAACCGCTTCCTCAGCACTCTCTGCTGATGCTGATATTTTAGTGCCTTTGAGAACCTCTATCTAACAAGAGGAGCTTTACAGTATGCTACAGTAAATCGTAAGAGCTCATTCCCCAGGGACAAGGGGACAGTCAAAGCCATAATGCCTCAGAAACACACACATGTAGCCTGCACACAAAAAAAAAGGAACACAGAGGACAGACCCTGCTGAATAAATAATGGAGGACAAAAGCAAACGAAAATAAGCTCTCCATCTCGTCCGCCATCCATTAGTGCAGAGCAGGAACTATGAGCGCCTTTGATCCACTGGAACATTATTGTGTGAGCCTATCATGACCCTAACCTTTGTTTTAAGATAAGGGTTTGCCATCTCATTGTCTCAGTGAGTACCGTTTTCCCATTACAGTTGCATTAATCCAGATGATCAGCAGCTAATAAAACATCTTCAGACGTCTAATGTGCTTCTGATGATGAAACAGAGTAGAAAATAATTAAAGAGAATATGCTTTTAATTAGGGACAGTTGCTTATGAATTTGCCTTTTGGAGTGGAAGGGTACAGTTCTGCACTAGTTGTCTTGTTCCTTGGCCCAAAAATTGAAAATTCAAGGTTATGCAAGGCCTGCCTGACTAAAGTCTCTCAATACTCAACACACCCAGCCTTTTAATGGCAGCAATCCTGAACCACATTTGTTCCTGTTGAGGAGGCACATCTTTAAATTATATTCATTATGTTTTTATTTTAAATAATGCTCTAAAACAGCTGTTGTTTTTGCAGATGTTAATGAAAATAATGCATTTAATCGAGACTATTTTCGAACACAGGTTTGGTGCTCTAGTAAGTATTTAGGGCAGCGGGACAGCATATGTGGGATGGATTCAAAATAAAGTATAGTGCTCAGTTTAATCAGATATCATAATAGCAAGACCATCTGGAGCATCTTTTCAATGCTTCTTTTACAATCTGAGCATGCCAGAGTCTGTCAAGCCTGTACGCTCCAAGATTTGATTTTAGAATTTGAGAATTATAAAAATCCTGCTTTGGCGAAGGCATGACCCGCCCTACTCAGTCTCTGATTGGCTTGTACTCTTTGCATTCGTTGGTTGGTTTGGTTTAGGTTTAGGCATGATTGAGATGGGTTCAGGTTAGGCTAAGAGTATCAGGGTAAGCCAATCAGAGGCAGAGTAGGGCGGAGCGAGAGTGAAGGGGAAAAAGGAGGAAAACTGGGGCTGGAGCACAGCTGATACACGCTGTCTGAGTTGTGTTATGTTACTGCTGATGAAAACCAAACATTTCCTGTTTTTTCTTTTCAAAATAAAATCTTTTTTTTTAAAAACATGATAAGGGGGACTTTTATTGCGAATAATTTATAGCAAATGAAATGTGTGTATGTGTTATCTACCGTTTTCCAGCTGCTCTTTTGAAGATGAAATATATATCCAATCTCTATCCAATCAGACAGGTCACATTGAAGTGTCAAGTGAGTACACATATGCAGACACAGCTCACTTCCAATCTGACACCTCTGATCACACATTAAAAAGACAAGCGTAACCACTGCATATTGTAAAACACCATGAAGTGCAGCACAGTAAGTTGAGGAAGAATGCTCTAATTCTTTCTGGCTGGAAATTCCCGAAGAATGACAAATTATGCCCACAGATAACAATGATGGATATGGGCTTTGCTGTTGTAATCATTATCATTGTTGTTATCAACAACATCAATATGGTGCCTCCCACAAACACAAACACACACACACACATAAAACACCCCCTGGCTTTCCTCGTCACCTCGACAAAACACTGCATTATTGCATTTTTCAAAGCTTGTCTCAAGTCAGTGTTTCAGAATGTATGATGTATGTTCTTTCTAAGTAAGAATGAAGAGCCAAACCCTAAACATACCAACACTCTGCTCTGCCCGAGTCAGCTGCTGCTTCAATGGCGGTTGGGTCTTGGAAAGATATGGAACAAGTTTGTGATATACTTCTTTATAGTATTTTTACATACATGTCTGTACATATGCAGTGGTTTGTACTACAGGGTGCAGAGTGCAGGACACGTGAAATGTTTATTACCACCTCATATTTTGCTTAGACACCAGAAGGATTATTTATCATCTCATCACATTCAACATCAGTCAGTCCAATAAACGTCTGGTTGTATCTTAAAAGGTCTGCAGCACATCAAAGATCAGCTCAGCCATTTTTTCTTCACTCTTTCTCTCCCATAAACTCACAGAGATAAAGACCCTCTCTGGAAGAGAAGTATAGTCCAACAAATCAAGATTAATGTCAGTGCCTTATGCTCCAGATCGCAGCATATTTTGAACCACAGGTCACACTACATCATCCACTGGAAATGACCAGAAATGAATGTCAGGCTGGATCAATTGGCTGCACAGCCGCTCATTCAATTAAGATCTTGGGTGGGGGTGGTCAGTGTGGTTTGAAGTGTGGTGAGTACAGGCTCCCAAAGGAGCCGTAAGTGCTGAAGACAGCTCAGCTGCGCCTGCCATTTGTCATTATCTAATGGTAAATCCTTCTGTGTCTGGTAGAGGACCCTCGCCAGGCCAGACAGTAAGGGAAAAAGAAGGATAGATAGATACATACGTACAAATGGGTCGAGTGCTGAAATATATACTCTTGATGTCAAATGACTACAGCATGGCTCTATTCCATCTGAGTTTGCCGGTAAAGGCAGAGAGATTATATCAATAAGTTTAAAAAAGATCCATGAAATCTCTAAGGGTTGCTTTGACACAACGTAAATGCACACAGAGATTCCAAGCCATACTTTCCTTTAAAAAAGTCTACGGGAGATGATGGTGACAAGATAAAACAAATTAACGGACTTTAAAGCAGGCATTAAGATGGAATAAAATGATCCGTAACAAAGAATGCAATTTTGTAATTCTCTCAATTACATGATCTGTGACTTAATTAAATTAGAATCTAGCTAAATCAGGACTTTAATATGATTTTAATTAATACACGTCTCAGCTATGTACACCATTTGTCAGTAGACAATATGAGAGCTTACAGGCTTTTCAAGCTTATTCTGTTGATCTCTGTGTGCTAGTACGTGTGTGTGCGTGTGTGTGTGTGTGTGTTTGTACAGGAATGCTTATGTCTGCCAGTATTATGAATTTACTGTCAATAACCACTGCCACTGATGACCAGACTTTCTTGAAAAGCAGACAAATATAACACCATATTGTGCTGTTTATCCAAAGTGATTTAGAAGCAGTGGACGGTGTTGCAAGATTTTCCTATTTGTAATTGGCAAACTAGTGCAAGATGAAGTCTCTTCACTTTAATTGGATAGCTTCATGTACTTCTTTCCAGGATGACACAAAACATAACTATCTACAAGTCCAATTGAATCGAAAAGGCTGTATAGGGCTGAAGGATAACAGCAAAGCATTATACAACATGAACTGCAGGATGTCACGTTGTGCCCAACATATCGCCCATGCCATACATTCGTTGTCAACACATGAGGTTACTATAAAAAATGCTTTTACTGACCCCAGTTGGCACTGTAGTAAAAAGATTCTGATGCAAATAAACTCATTGCAGAGTTGAATTAGTGCAATCAGGGGAGATATGGAATTAATATGTCTGATTAACTGCCTGAATTAGCATTTGGAGTCCAAAGAGAGTTCACACAGGAGGGGAGGGATGAGATATGTTCTGCAGTGAGGAAGAAAGGCTAAAGGAAGGAAAATGGAGTAACAAAGACACAAAGTGGAGGAGAACAGGTTGACTGTGATATAGAACGTTCCTTTGGCTCTTGGTTTCACTCAGACCAGTCTTGTGTCTTTGATTAATTATTTTTGACAAGGAAATATTCCTTCTCTTCATCTGCCTGTGAAATGGATCATAGTCACACTGCTGTCTTAGGTTTTCACCAGCTATCAGTTGTTCATGATGGGAGAGGTAACTGGTTTGGCCCCATCAAAAATGTTAGACTTAGAGGGCATTGTGATCTGTTTTCATGAAGACCCTGTCATTAGGGATGAGAGGACCACACGGAGATGCTTTCATGGAGAAGAAAATGTTAAGGATGGCATATAGAGGGAAATATTCAGAGGGAGGCAAATAGGGACACAATACCAACAGTCAAAAGGCAGAGGGAAAAGTCAGGCAAAAGGTAGTTTGAGGAGAAAAGATGAAAGACATAGACTGCATGGTTAGCCAGAGAGAGAGAGAGAGAGAGAGAGAGAGAGAGAGAGAGAGAGAATAAAGAGTAAATTACCAATATGAAATATCTGCCTCAAAATGTCTGACTCTCATAGGAAAGGCTGGCAGAAGCCTGCGGAGAAAAATACATGAGAACGGATGCCATGCTACCACAGGGTGATACAGGAGGCATATCACACTAAGCCAATAAGCATATGTAATGCAGATTAATGTGAAAGCAACCTGTGATTGTACAACAGGAAGCTAACTGAATGTGCGGTTTAAGACTGAAATTGACCAAAAAGGAGACAAGATCACTCTTAAAAAATAGTGAATAAGAAACATGTAGTGAGGTAAGAGAGATTTTTTTTAAATTATTATTATTATAATTTCCTGTTGTGAGGACATCATGGTGAGTCACTGGGTGTGTCTTTCTCCAGGAAGAGATGAGAGCAGTAGCAGAAGTGACTAGCATGCTGGACCATAAAAGCAACATAGCAAACTGAAAAATTAGAGAGGTATTTTCTCGTTTTCCCTTCATGTTCTTTCTTCAGATTTCACTAATA